ATTATTTCATTAACTTCAGTCATTAATTTAATAATCTTAGTGAAAGAAATGCATTTTAATTAACTGATAAATAAGATCCACACACTGCCAGAAAATAAAAAATAAAATATTTTGCTGTCCACGTTAAGGGTTAATGTCTTTCAATAAAATCGAAAGGAAGTTTGGTAACCATGGTAATAACCTTATCATTTATCGATCRTTGACGTTCTCGAGAACACGGGATAAGAAAGATAAAAATCATCTTTGACCTACTAACTACAGGGCGTGGAGAAGCTTAAAACTTCATTAAAAATACTCGATAAGAATGTGGTGTCTGTGTAAAAAGCAGATAAGATGTGATGGAGCTGCGAAGAAAAAAAAAAGGGTCTGTTATAAATGAAGGAAGGTGGTCCTATAAATGTTTTTTCTTTCTTTCTTTCTTTCTTTCTGTTTTTTTTCTGCACGCGCTTGTTGCATTTTTTAGTGATCTTTGCTGTTTTCTTGAGACGTGAACAGTCATCTGGATGAGATTTTGGCTGCCATCGATCGCAAATTAAGTACAAACTCAGACAGTCGTAAAAAATTATAAATTAAATGGACGGAAGCCAAAATATGAGAAATCGTGTTTGGTTCTTGGAAATGTTTGGCTTTTAAAGAAACACGAGATGCGCTCTTAAACACCTTTAAGGGTGTGTTAAAGGTGTGCTAGCGTGTGAACAAGGGATATTGGCTACTTCTGCCAACATAAGTAAAGGTAAAATTTGTTTTCTTGGGAAGGGCTGGAGCTTCAGAGGAGAGGGTCACTAGTAAAAAATTGAACTCTTGTGGAGAGCCTGATTTTTTTTATTTTGATGAAAGCAGTTTCATTATTGTTGGYTWARGAAAGTCTTGAATTTCGTCCCGGCTGAGCGAAAGGGGAGGGCTRCAATCCTTTTAAAATCGTTTACTGCGAATCCCCCAGCGTCTTCCTCTCAATACAACTTTCTACTTCCCCTAATGCAAGCAATGACACTGATGATGATAATGATGACGATAATAACGACGACGAAGATGATGGTACTGAAAAAAAAARTTCTAGGTCATCTATTCATTTACTTTCATTATTTGATTGTTTATTTATTTGGTTTTATCTTATGAATATTATACAAGCAATTTTGTTCAGTAATTACTAGCGGCGTCATTCATTGATATTTAAAAAAAATTAAAGATAACTTAGGAGAACGATATACATTTTAGTTATACATGTTAGCTTAAAGCACATATATTACTCACAAAACACACACCCCAGATACATAAAATACACACTTTACACCATATAAATACTACATAACACACGTAAACAWAACATCACACATTCCTGGCTAAAAGCCGGGTCAAACCAATTTTTTCTGGGACTTTTGACGAGTTTTTCTGATCTAAACAGGGTTAAACCGCTTTTGAAGCAAATAAAGGCAACCTTATTTCGAACGCACAATTAGGCGCCAACTAAGTTGTTATAATAATAATAAAAACCTATTTTAGATGCAGGATAAATTTATACTTAAATTTTTGTCTGCATATTGTATTACGGTAAAAATTTTTTAAATCCCTACTTTAACTGCTAGGTCAAGGCTAGTAGCTCTTCAATGAGTCTCGCTAAAACCATAGGACTTTACCCTAAAAACAGAGTATTATATTCGTGTTTTAATTGCAAGGTTAAAGCTAGCAGCTCTTCATGATCACGGCGGGCGAATCCAAGAAGAACAAGAAACAGTGTTTTCTGGTTCCATTATTGTTTAGATTGCATCATGGGACTCAATCAACTAAATGAATCTTACGAATCTGATTACCAGCCTTTAGTGACAGGAAACCGGTTACCCTCCAGCCATCATCACACATGCACTTTTACTGAAATCTTGCCAGTCAGCTGGTAAAATTTCCACACCGGAAATGAAGTTGTTAAAAAGGAAGATATTAGCCGGATACCAAAAGGAACGCGCGCTCAAGAATGAGATTAGTAAAGTATACTCTACCGGCATTAACTGTCTACCTGTAAGCACGCATCGAGTGTACAATACTTCGGACGGCCTTAGCCAAACGTCTTTTATCGACCGAATCCAAGAATTTATCATCTGGAGAAGAGAACGACACAAAGACTCAGCTCAAATTCTCTATTTTTTTCTTATATTAGTCAAGGCCATCTCACTTCAACATTTTTTCTCCGAAAGTTTTAGCTTTAGCTTTAATCTCAATTAATAAATTTCATCTTCTTATGACCAATGCAGTCTTATTTGGGGAACCTAAATTCCTGTTAGGACTGGATATGGGGTTGGGCCTATCAGATTCAGATTTTTTCCAGGAAAGGAACTTGCGGGCCACTTAGATGGGATTATTTATCATTTATTAATGATTAATAATCATGACAATCCACTCAAGTATCAATGCAATTTTGATATTTCTTTTCTAAGTAAAGCACTAATCTCTCGACATACCTTGCCACGATTCCTGTGATAGAGCATCCTTTAGTTCTTGTGATGTCGAGTTATGTTCTAATGCTTTCTTAACCAGCTTGCTTAGCTCCTCCTCTGCACAATATTCCTCTAATATACAAACAAACCAGCATGAAAGGTTGGAGCTTTTGAGTTGAGCGTTGTGTGCATAGAATATTAAATGTAGTGGTAGTGTGTGTGAGCGTGTCTAAGTGTGATAAGTGTCCCCAATTAGTGCGAAAGCGCTAGAACGACTAGACACTTAAATAAAGTGATTTWTTWTWWWTATTTATTTAGGGGTATATTGTAAGACTAGTTCAAGGGGAGGGGAGGAGAGAAGAGGAGAGGATTACAAAAGTAAACAAGCCTCTAATGGTGTAAGGAAATCGAACAAATACACCTGCAATAGCTTTCAATCCACAGAATTCCAAACGAGAACCACCGCAAAAGGAAAGCACAAACCATCATCAATGTACCTGTGTTATTTTTTGGAGGCATAATGCAGAATGCTATCACATCTCGTAAAGACTTGATTGCGTCCTGGTTGACATTGTCCACTTGTGAAGGGACTATGGATGGTGCCTCTTCATCCATCCTGAAAGACGTAATAAGATAGAGCAGATTTCGTTTGACTGTAAAGACTAATAGCAAATGTGTGTCTTAAAAATTCTTACCAAACTCCTTTCGCTACTCCGCTTGTGTTTGCCGCGTGCGTATCGATAAAAGTAGGTCCAACTCGRTACTAATCTTGACCGAACTTCAATAACTATGACGACTAATGGCATGRTACAACATCGGTATCGAAGTGCGTACCTGTGTTTTGCTATGTGTTTTCGTCTCTCCAGTATAGGATTATGAGCTTTTGATATGGACTTTAATGACACAACTCGATCTGAAATTCTCATTTCTGTTAAACGTACATTGTGCGCTGTCATGGCTTCTTCGAAAGCTTCCTACAAAAGAAAGGAAAAAAGAAAACGGTCATGCATGCATTGCGCCTTTCTAAATCCTGTCCTGAAAAGTCTCCAAAGTGCGGGAAATAGCATGTCGTGAAGGACCATGTCACCGTACCCACATACCCATAAACTCCCCCCCCCCCCCCCCCCCCCCCCCTTCCAAATATAATCTTGCAGCATTGGTGCATGTTAAAATGGTGTCTGGGGTGTCCCTCCTCGAAGTTCTAAATCCTTGAGATGTCCCTGTATTCAAATCTATATTCACGAAGTCAATAATGGCAGAGCGCTTGCTCTTATTTGACCACCATTCACATCATAACAACAAAAACAAATGGAGGATATCATTTTTATAAAAGCAGCGGGGGGAGTTAGGTTTTAAGGTTTTTATTGAAGAAATAGAAAACACGCGCGCGCTGTGTGCAGTTACAAAGCACGCGGGGATTAGCAGAACTCCTCGAGTGTTCTGTCAATCCCCAAGTGCTTTATAACTCCACACAGCACAGCAAGCAAGTTTTTTATTCTTTTATAAAATACAAATTACAACACCCGTTATTTAGGATAAGAATATTGCAACTGAAAGTGCGTGCGGTGTGTTCTCATAAAGCACACGCTCCCAACCTATCAGAAAGCGAGATTCATAATAGTTATTACATAATGTTAATCAGTTGTAACAATTCGAGACCCTAGTGGTAACAGACGAGAAGAGTGCAACACCCTTGATTCCCTAACGATGGTTGCATGACAGCCGCAGTTGCGCACATTCCTTTCCACGAGATTAAAAGAAAAAGAGATGTGGTCTCCATGTTGGTTGTCATGACAAAAGACACCAAGTCCCAGGTGATCTGAAATCTAGGTGCACAATGCATTGTTTGTCACAGTGAAGGTTTCCAAGTGTTTTCAGTTATCTCTTGGTAAAACGAAATATTTCCCACCAACCGACGACAAAATATGCTATTTCCAAAAGCAAAAATTCTTTACACGGATGTGTTTTATTTTCTTTATGTGTTTTTTGGGGGGGTGGGGTTAAAGACCTTTTTTTTTGAGCCGAAAACTTGGAATTAGGAAATCTTGAACTACGAACAAAAATTTTGCTGATTGGCTAATTTCGTTCTGCCTTATAGAACAGAGATCACCTGGACGTGACACGCACCCCAAGAATATTACCTCATCAGCAGTAATCCTTGCCGGTGTTTCCAGGATAACATCCTCATCATTCTTGTCTTGGTGTTGTAACCAAGGATGTTCTAACAGTTCTACCACACTGAGTCTTTGCCCTGGTTCTACACAAAGCAACCTGGAAAAATAAATCAACCTGTTACCTACAAAACCTTTGGTTGGATTCTCAATTTGGGAAACAAAAGAAAAGAATTTTATTTCCCTGAGAATTAAAACACAACATTTTCTTCACTCGGAATTACTAGTGATCCTGTAGTTGAAAATTCCTTTGTTTTTGAAGTAAAGTAACATTAGTTAAGGGGACAATACGATGCATAACTGACCCAACTGATGACAATAAATCATCTTACTTTGAAACAACATCTTTAGCTTCATTTGATATTTTAGACCATTCAGGGTCAGGAAATGTAAACTGTCCAGCCATTATCCTGCGTCGCATGCCTTGAGATAACTGTTTCCGAGGTACTTCTGAATAAAACGGTGGATAGCCACACAGCATGATATAGATGACCACGCCCAAGGACCACATGTCACAGCTCTATCAAGAAAATAAATTTTATATGTCTGAATATTGTTACAAGACAGACTAGATGGCTTTATATCATTGTATAGATGGATGGAGGGACGGATGGATGGATGGATGCATGGATGCATGGATGGATGCAGTAAGAAGTTCCATAAAGAGTATGATTAAACTTGAGCTCACTTTATCATATGTGTATGGTTTTGCTAGGAAAGGAAAYCGGCCAGACTTCTGTGCTCTGTGAATTCTTTGTGCTTCTAATACCTAAAATAAAAAATAAAAAATAAAAATCATCATAAATTTCTTTTTTGTCCTTATATTCTAAATCTTACTCAACATTGAAACAACCTCTGGGATGATCTAAGTCAGAGCATGGGTAGCTCACAGATCAAACCCTGAAATGACCTCTGGGCTGATCTAAGTCAGGACGCAGCTAACTCACAGATAGAACCCTGAAACAACCTCTGGGCTGATCTAAGTCAGGCCGCGGCTAACTCACAGACCGAATTGGAATTTAGCATGTTGGGTTTTGCAGTGGGAATAAACATGAAGAACAATCAGAAAAACTCTCGAATCAGTATCTTCTTGCATGTGATGCTAGCTATTGAACCTGAGACCCCAAAGGTGGGTGTAATGGGTCCCCTTAAAATCACTATTATAATGACTAGGAATGACAAACATACCTGAGGTGAAACATAGTATGGTGTAAACTGTGGGGTTACAAGATCACCTTGGTCAACCTTTGCAAATCCAAAATCTGCAAGYTTAACCACCATTTCCTGCAACAAATACAAAGATAATGCAATGTAAATGTTTTTTCTTTCTTTCTTTCTTTCAAATACAAAGATAATGCAAT